ATCTTTCTTATGTACTCGTTATTATCCCGCAGGGTACCTGAACACAGGCAGGGCGGAGGTGTTGAAAGCCCAGATCTACCGTTCAGTAAGCTATCCCGCCCATGATCGGATTCCCTGCTGGGATAATAAGCTGGCCAAAGAAGGAGATGGAAGCCACTGACATCAAGACCAGGAAGCTCCTGACCATGCATGGAGGGTTTCACCCCAAGTCCAGCACCCCGAGGCTGTACTCAGGCAGCAGAAACCCAAATAAGAGGAGGAAGAGGAGGAACCATCATGGAAGGCAGATAGAGGGAGTGCTGACATCCAGAAATCCTACCAGTGTCTGAACAAAGCTGGACTGAAAGACAGCACAGAGGCACTAATCATGGCAGCACAGGAACAAGTTCTGAGCACAGATCCTGCTGTGATAGGCTGGGGTCTATCAGAGCAGGCAAGACCCAGGTGCAGGCTGTGTACTGATGCCCTTGAGACAATCCAGCACATAACAGCAGGGTGCAAGATGCTAGCAGGCAGGGCATACATGGAACACCATAACCAAGTGGCCGGCATAGTGTACAGAAACATCTGAGTCCCGAGGTCAAAATGGGAGACGCCCCCAAGGGTGGTGGAGAATGACCGAGCTAAGATCCTGTGGGACTTCCAGATACAGACGGACAAACTGGTGATGGCTAACCAACCAGACTTAGTGGTGTTAGACAAACAGAAGAAGACGGTCGTAGTCATACTTATACTTACTTACTTTATACTTTATTGATCCCTGTGGGGAAATTCCTCTCTGCATTTAACCCATGCACTCAGTGAAGCAGTGGGCAGCCATTGGGTACCGCAGGGTAGCCGTTCAGTGGATTCAAACCCCCAACCGTCCGATCACGGGGCCACCACTCTACCTACTGAGCTATCCCTGCCCCTAGATAGACGTAGTGATGACAGCAACAGCAGGAAAGAGGAACACGAGAAGCTGGAGAAGATATGGTGAAGGTAACAGTGGTCCCAGTGGTCATCAGAGGTAATCATGTATGTGTGTGTGGTGATTTGTACCTCTCTGCTGTTTGGATCCAGATAAGATAGCCATTCCTGACTTTGGCACTGGTGCCATGGAGAACTGGGGTCTTATCACCTACAGGGAAACCAACTTGCTTTATGATGAAAACCAGTCATCCTCTTACAACAAGCAGCGAGTTGCCAGTGTCATCGCACATGAACTGGTTCACCAGGTAATGTTTTGAAATATTTTGATTTTATAGAGAAATAAACCTTTTCCCGCAAAATGTTTTCTACCACTTTGCTAAATTGCATACTTTATATTTTGTGCTTGAATGTTGTGACTAAAAGAAACATTTTAGAATGAATTACTGAAAGGCCAACTTTATGATACAATTCAGTTTAATTCAAGTCAGTTTTACTGAGCAAGAAATTAAGGAGAATGTGTGACTAGAATCTCACTCTTGGTAAAGAGTGAAGGGGAATTGGGAAGGGGACCAGAGAAAACGACAGAGTCCAACATTAATTTGGGTCATAAACTAACATAGCGAAGCTCTGTAGGGCAAGCTCAGCCCGCTCAGCGGGGATTTCATCTTATGGTTAATAACAGAGCGGATCATGTGTCTTTTTCTTCTTCTATGGTAAACATTGTTTGAATTTTTAGACTGTTTTGATAGAGTTTGGGTGTTTTTGGTAGAGTTCTATAACATCAGTATTAAACATCACTAGTCATTCATCTTAATTTAAATTTTATGTGGCTAAGAGGAACAAGCATAAAACAGTAGCTCCATCATGGAGCCACTCTTGCTTGAACCAAGTTTTCTTGGATGAGAGAAAATTGGGAATACCAGTTTCTGTAAGCGTCGGGGTTGCTGTAGCTCAGGAGGTAGAGCAGCTCATCTGCTAATTGAAAGGTTGTTCAGACTGGCTGCTTCAATCTGATCCTTGGGCAAGATAAGGAACCCTAAGTTGCTTTCCGATGCATTCATCAGAACGGAAATGTTAAATATAAAGGATAGAAAAAAGTGTTTTTATGAATGGCTGAATGAGGCAGTAGTATAAAGAACTTAAGTAAAGTACAAAAGTGCCAGTCTGTCGACCATTTTTACTTGTTTACTTTGATTGTGACTTGGTGTTTGGTTAGTTCAGGCCTCTTCAGTATGTCACATACAGAGGACTAGCACTGTAAAAACCAGTTTCATTTTATAACTGGGAGTATATATTTCTAAGCTTAGAATAATTCAGCAGTTGCAAGCGCAAAGACTCATTTGAGAATCCAGAGGTATAATTTAAAAATTCTTTATATGTTCTTCAACCTTTTGCATGATGTACATGATTCATTGCAACATATCAGATATTTGACAGGAATGGATGAGTTTTTCATTTAAAATTGCAATTAAGTTGATGTTTACAAAACCCTCTTACATGTTTTGAGCAATAAAGCTTTTACAGGGTTGTGCACTGCTGTGTTGGAATACTGAAGACAGCTGTGCACTACTTTTTATTCACCGGTCTGCATTAGGTTTGTATGGTGCTATTTTTGTGCCTCTATTCTGAGCACACGTTAAAACAATGCAAGGGCAAATGTTGCATTTTGAGGAGGAAATTATTTTGAGTGAAGAAAAGTTTAATTTGAGCGAACAAAATTCATTTCTGCAAACAGCATCTGTGCTCCCTGCGCGCTCAACTCTCTGTACACCGTTATAAGTGTGCCACAAAAACAACCAATCACAGACTTGGATGCAAAAATTCTGATTGGCTGTTACGGTCTCCAATCAACTCGCTAGCTACTGCATTCCTACTGCTGCTGCAGTTAGTATGTTTAATTATTTTATTTTAAAATATATAATTTTTTAAGACCATTGTTGGTTTTAATCTAGTTTTGTGGAGATAAACACAGACGACACGAGTTTATTCACTATCACCACACAACTGAATACTTTGCGCTCCAAAACACAGCAACCATTTCCTGTCCACTGGGTGAGTGGAGCCCTCCAGTGGTCCACCACAGTTTAAACCAAACCACTCCACTGGATTTAGCTACAGCTGCAGACCGTAACAGCCAATCAGAATCTTTGCATCCTAGTCTGTGATTGGTTGGTTTTTTGGCACACTTATAACAATGTAGAGAGAGTTTACGGTGGCCCTGAGAGGCCAAACGAACTGCGACTTAAGAAAACACCAGCAATAAGAAAAACGCTGCAAAAGCACACAAAACACAACAGAAATAGGAAAAAAGGAAATGGAAATTCGTTTTTTCTTTTTTCGTATTTGTTTATTTATTAAAGGAGCCGTCACTGAGACGGTGAGCTCAGGTTGAGTGAAAGTAAAATTGTTTCAAGTTTCCAAAACAGCAGCGTTGTTCCTCTAATCACGATTAAAACATTCATTGTGAAAAAATTGTGAGTCCTTCATCAAAGCACCTTATCAAAAAACTCCAAACTCCTGCTGTTTCGTTTACACAGAGAAGTGTCTGCAGCCTCCAGAAGTATTAAAATAAATATGAACTCTTAACTTAGTCTGATACATGTTTAAATGATACAGTTTGCTGCAGGCCGACGGCAGCCATCATATTTTACATGGAAGCGATACCTGCAGCAACAGGCGGGAGTCTAAAGGTGCTGGTGTGCTAGACCATATTTATTTCAAGACTTTGTAACATTTTTAGATTGAAAGTTAAATAATACAAAATGTTGTGTTATTTAAATTGCATTAATAAAAGCTTTTTCACAAACCAACAAAAATGTACAGGTAAAACTCTGAGCCACCGACCTGACGGTTATTAGGTTGGACACTGAATTATTATTAATATTAAGAAACATCTGCACCATCATAACGTCTTGTTTTCAGCACCACAAAAACTTTGCATGAAAACAAAACTTCAGAAAGCTGTGAGAGGAATTTCTGTCTCCTGTTAATGTCAGAAAGCTTGACAGAAACACATTTTTATGCCTTAGTTTAGATTACATATATATCTTATTTTATTTGAATTTTTTAAATCATTGCACTTGCCAATTTCTTATTTTGTGTGGACTCTTGAAACTCACGTCAGTTGTATTTTTTTCAGTGGTTTGGGAATATTGTAACTATGGATTGGTGGGATGACCTGTGGCTCAATGAGGGCTTTGCCAGCTTCTTTGAGTACATCGGAGTGGAATTAGCAGAACCAACCTGGGGCATGGTGAGTTCTCCTTTAAAGGCACATTAAAGACCCACCGAGCTATTACTGCCAGTCACCTGGAAGTTCTCAGCACCTGTGTTGCTGTGGTCTTACAGCGAGACATCATGATCATCAGCGATGTGCTTCCTGTCATGGTGGATGACGCTCTGCTGTCCTCTCATCCGATCATTGTAGACGTGTCAACCCCAGCTGAAATCACCTCTGTGTTTGATGCCATCTCATACAACAAGGTATGAGATCTCTCTGTAAGCACTCAGACAATAAAAGTTAACCATACTGTTACACTACATGCAAACAAGATCAACATGTATCACTCGTGACTGTGTGCGACAGATTAAGCACTTAAGATGAGCAGAATAAACACTGGATATTATATTTGAACGGGTGGATGTAGATCGCACTATAAAAGTCCTGTGAGTTGTCAACAATACATTAAAATTGCTCTATGGATATCAGTCGTGAGATTATTATTTTATCATATGTTATCCTATGCCTATAATCGAAATGAGTGAATTATTATACTGCTGTAAGCCACGCCATACTTCTTATTATAGAGAGTATAATTAGTATGTAGCTCTTCATCCATGTCGCCCCATCCAGATGGTTTGTGCTCTTAAAGTGTTGAATTGTATGGAATAAAGGATTGTTGGGTGAGCATTTATACACCGAGTATTGTTCTTCCTTCAACCCAAAGATCAAAAGAATTGGGAGGATTTAACACAGTCCATTTACCGTGTAATGAAAATTGTTCAACTTTTTTCAGGGAGCATCTATTCTCAGGATGCTGGAGGACTGGATGGGCAGAGACGAGTTCAGAGATGGTTGTCGAGTAAGTCATAGACTCACAGCTCTTTTAGTATTTAAAAAAATTGATGTTGCTCTTTTGATCAACATTAATTATAATTTTAAATCTCCCAGCAGCTGAGTAATCAAGTCTTTTTCTCTTTCAACAGAAATATTTGAAAGACTTCTATTTCAAGAACGCCAAAACGAGCGACTTCTGGGCATCTCTTGCCAGTGTATGTTTGGACTTAAGTAGCCTTGCCCTTCAGTCTGTGCTAGTGTTAAGACTAAGAAAAATACACAATTGCTAAAAGAAAAAGGAAATATTTAGGGTTATTTTCTTAATCATATTAACATTTCAGGAAATTTCTTCAAGCAACTGAAATCCCTAAAAACATCGAGCTGCTAGACTGTTAAAACTGTTATGGCCGGCTGTGTGCAGGCAGGAATAGGACCCAAGGTGCAGACACTCGGAGGCAAAAAAGCTTTAATGCTTAACTCAAATGTAACATAACTGGACATATCAAAATAAACTTACACCAGAAGACTCACAGAACACACAGCTAGATAAACAGTAGATCGCGACACAGAGAAACAGGGCTTAAATACACAGAGGGAGCAACCAGGGAATGAGTAACAGGAGGGAAACAGCTGGGGCAAATCAGGCCTAACGAGACAAAGGAAGCGAAACAAGATACATTAACATCAGACAAGGACCTTCAAAATAAAACAGGAAACATGACACAGACTGAACTAAAGACACAGACTAACACGCGCGCACTGCAACAGAGGGAACAGAGACGTGGGACCAGGGCAGACACAGACACTGACTGGACACGGGGATATCGCAGACCTCGACCTCAAGGTCAGA